ACGAAGTGAAACAAGTATAAAATAACTTAAATCAGCCCAATTTGCGCAACGCACACCGTGACGTCACAAAGTAGGGCGGTGCATACCAATCTTTCAAATCTTAGATATAGAGAAGCAATTACGATACTAAACGTGTTTACAATTTTGTATTACTCTTTTACGACATATGTCAAACTCGAGCTAGTCAGTTTTGGTGATAATAAATGCCATTTTTTAAAATAGGGCGATTTAATTAATATAAAAACATTTTCATTCCATCAATCTCTAAATATAAAATCATTAACTTAAAATTAATCAAAATATGACTCAAAGAGTAATATCACAAAATAGTGTTCATGTTATGTTACTTCATTCTCTATGTTCAAACTCTAATCAAGCTGTCAAATTCTAAAAAACAACATAATATAAGAATTTTAATTCTGTATGTGTTTATTAAAAGCAAAATTTAAATAAAACTGCGACTTTAATAAATTGAAAGTATGTTTGTCAATTCAACGATTGTTACCGAAAAACGTCAGGTAAAAAAATACTTTTATTTTTGAGGTTATGCTGATTTCCAAATAACAGTTTTATTTTGTTTTTGTTCCAGAGTCTATAAAATATATCCAAGAATATATACAGAATATACCCAACTATGCATTGAGAAATTTTTTTTGTTCCCAACAAAAGACAAAGTTTTAAAAAAGTATGAAAATTTTATTATATATTTTATTAAGGGCCAGTCTTTTGACCAAGTTGAAAGTAACAAGTAACTACTTGCTGATTAAACTATAGGACTATTCTTTGTTAATCTCTCAAGTAAAGTTACATGTAACTTTACTCAGAGGTGAAAAGATCGACCATTAAACAAGGATAATTTCTTGACTATAGTACAATTTTATATTAATAAAGGTTTATTTTGTAGCTTGGCCCTTGACATACTTATAAACAGTGTCGACTGATATATTTTTTTTTTTTTTTTTTTTTTTTAATGGCACTGGATATAACCAAAAGGCCAGACTATTGTAGTAATCCATAAATCTTTAATTGTTTTATCCACTATTGTTACATGATTACATTATTATTATATTTTGACTTACAGCTATCAAAATACCTGAGTTTGTAATTAATTATAAAAAATGTCTATTTTTTTATTATTTGTTTTTTTGATTATTTTTTTTTGTATTATTTTTTTTTGTATTATTTTTTGTTTTTTTTTTTTTTTCATTTTTTCCTTGGTTTCATTTTTTTATTTTATCATTTATTTTATTTTTTCGTTTCAGGTTTACAATATTTTTAGGGTAGCTCAGCTACTTACAATCTTGTATTAGTTTTTTTAACAAATTCATACAATATTTTATAAACTTTAACATCGTTTAATGAAAGCAGAACATCAATGTTTATTGGTAGAGGTATACCAATATTAACTAATTCTAAGTACATTGTGTCAGTATCTAACGAATTTAGGACACACTCTAAAATTATATGATTGAGATCAGCAATTTCATCACAAATTAAACATAAATTATTATCTGATAGACCAAATTTTTCCTTGTAGGCAGGATGCATAGCATGATTACTTCTCATACGACAAATAACTCGGATAAAAGACCTATTTATTTCGTTTTTGAACCAGGGACACTTTGGAATATTAGGTTGAATGTTTTTGTATTTCTTCCCTTTTTCTTCTTTAGAATATGCATCTTGCCAAGTTTTAAACATTGATAATTTAGATTTAGCAATAAAATCTGATTTTGGAGTTTTAATATTTTTATTAGTTCCCGAAACAGTAGCCTTTTTTGCTAGTATATCCACTTTCTCATTGTTACTAATACCTACATGAGATTTTATCCACGCCAACGAAATTTCTTTATTTTGTTCCAAACATTGATAGTTAATCTTAAGAATTTCTGAGGCTATATAGTTGGTAGGACTGGTAACGTTCCATTTTGCAAAATATTCTACTGCACTCTTACTATCAGTAAATATAACATATTTAGATTTATTTTCCTGAAGACATACGTTAAAAGCTTCTTTTATAGCAACAAGTTCAGCATTGTATATTGACATTGTACTGGTTAAATGAAATTTCATAATTTTTGTTAGGATACAAAATTGCACATCCTAATTGGTTCCCAATTTTAGATCCGTCCGTATATATGTTTTCAAATGTATTCCATTTTGTTATTAAATCTTCTTTAAATGCGTTTTTAATCACTAGAGGGTTTTCATTCAGTAGATTTTTGTTTATATATGTTTTCAATGGCGTTGTTAAAGCTGAAAAATGTAAGGACCATAGTGGAATTGCATTTTGTTGATGGAGGTCTGGAATCATTTCAATGGTAGATAAAAAAGTCTCTACTAGTAAAGGAAGTTTTTTCTTTGACCAATACTTTCCAGTTAAACACAGAGAAGATAAATTGGATAAAAGAGGGAGAAGAACCGAATTTTTCGCCCTTTGATTTATTAAAAACTTTTCGGATAAAAATTTTCTTCTAAAATTGAGAGGAGGTTCTGTAGTTTCTGATTCTATTACATTAATTGGAGTACTTGGGAGAAAACCTATACTTAATCTAAGACATTTGTATTTTATTCTGTCCAATTTTTGCAAATGAGTATTTGATGCATCATTGTATAATATTGCACCATAGTCAAAAATTGATCTAATCAGCACCCTATAAAAAAGAATTGCTATGTTGGGGTCTGCACCCCAATTATATTTGGAAACAGTTTTTATTAAATTTACAGCATTTTCTGTTCTTTTTACAATATAATTAATATGTTCTTTCCAGTTTAGCTTCTTGTCCAATATGACACCCAAGAATTTATGACTACTTTTAAGTTGAAATTGACAATTTCCTAGTGAAGCAACATTTGAAAGTTGAGTTCTTTTCCTTGTAAAGCAAACTACCGCTGACTTGTTTTCTGAAATTGTTAGACCATTTTCAAACAACCATTTCTGTATGTCTTCTACACCTAATGATAGTTGATAAATACTAGAATCAATACTTTTATGCTGAGTATACAAAACAATATCATCAGCAAATTGAAGAATTTTTGTAGGAATAGATATATGTCGTTCCAAATCTTGAGTATAAATAAGGTATAGAAGTGGACTTAAAACGCTTCCTTGAGGAAGACCAAATGAAGTTTCTCTAGGTCCTATAAATTCATTATTTATTCTAATCAATAACTTTCGTCTTGTATATAGTTTATAAATATGTAAGGAGATTAAGTGAGGGATCCCCAATGATATCATTTTTTGAATCAGTATTTCTAGATTGACATTATCATAAGCTCCTTTAATATCTAAAAACACAGCAGTGGTAGAAATTTGTTGGGAAAATCCAATTTGTATGTCAGTTGTTATGGTTGCAATACTTTCTTGAGTAGACTTGTTTCTCCTGAAGCCAAATTGTGAGTTTGGAAACATATTATTGTGTTCCAACCAATGTTCCAGTCTAAGTTTGATCATTTTTTCATACGTTTTTAAAACACAAGATGATAGTGATATTGGTCTATATGAATCTGCATTAGTTGGAATTTTGTTTGGCTTGAGTATGGGTAAAATAATATAATCAGACCAAGATTCTGGAATGTCCAATTTCTTAGCCCATATTTTGTTTAAGATATTTAATAGTTGTTGTTTAGCAATCTTAGGGAGGTTACTTAGCATTGTATAATGAATATTATCTAAACCTGGAGACGAGTTCTTTGTTTTCATTAAGGCCAATTCTAATTCATTATAAGAGAATGGTGTTAATAAGTTTTTGGAGTTTTCGGTTGAAGTGGCTAGGGATTTATTTTCCAATTCTGAATCATTAGGAGGGCATGGAACAACGAATGGCGGGGCTAATTTCAAATGAAATTCTGGTATCCACTCGGCTGTTTCGATGTCTACTGGAGGAATCATTGAAGAATTTTGATTTTTTAATGAACGAACTTTTTGCCAAACTTCCTTAATAGGAGAATGTTGGTTCAGAGATAGACAATAATTTTTCCAACTTTCCCTTTTGACTTGTTTTATTGTCTTTTTTGCTATGGCATCTATTCTTTTGTATTCTATAATATTTGAGAGTGTTGGATTTGTCTGGAAGGTTATAAAAGCTTTTTTTCTGTTATCTATCACTTCATCACATTTTTGGTTCCACCAGAATTTATTTTTAGATGAAGAGTTACTTTTAATAAATTTTGGAATTGACTTTTCAGCAGCCGTATCTATGTTTTGAATAAATTCTTCATAATTAAGATTAATATTTCCGTGGAACAATTTTTGTGTTTCTAAATAAAACGAATTCCAATTAGCCCTCTTTAAATTCCATTTTCTGGTAGTCTGAGTAATTATATTTTTAGGAGTGATTGAGATTGAAGTAAGAGTGGGAAGGTGATTCGAACCATATAAGTCATTTAGAGTTTCCCATTTCAGAAGATGTCTAATTTCTAGAGAACTGATTGTCAAATCAATAGCTGAAGGTATGGTGTGTAGATTTCCCAAAAACGTTGGTGATCCGTCATTTATAAAACTAAGATTATTTTGGTCTAAAGCTTCTAACAAAATTTTACCATATGTATCAGTCGATGGACCTCCCCAAGCTATGTTATGAGAATTTAGATCTCCTGTTATTATACATGGTCTAGGAATTGATTCAAAGAATGAACACCACTCTTGTAATGAAATTTTAGTTTTTGGTGGTATATATAAGGATACAATTGTAATTTTAATATTGCCAAATTTTAATAAAATTGATTTTTGATTAACATTCGCTAAGTAGTATTTAATGGGAATTTCATCATAAAATATGTTGGATTTAACTAAAATCGCTGTTCCTCCTCCAAGACGATCCACACGATCGTCTCTTAAGATATTGTAATTTTTAAATTTGTAGATTATTTGAGGTTTAAAATACGTTTCAGAAATACAAGCAATATCAATTTTTTGTTCATTTAGTAGGTACATAAGGTTTTCTTTATTTGAAACAGCTGATCTACAATTCCACTGACACAATATAATATTACCAGTACTAGCCATCGAATTCAAGAGTCTTTCCTATAGAACTTGACAAATTTTGTTTAATTACATTTAAAATAGTAGATTCTTGAATTTCGAAATTTGTACTTTTAATAATTTCAATAGTAGATAAAACAACTTGTAAAATAATTTGGAACATATTATCACTTGTCAATTTTTCCTCTATATTTGATGAACTTAATGTAGATTTATATTTAGGAGAAGAAAGGATTCCTCCTTGACTTTTTGGAATATTAGTATTAGATATAATTTCTTTGTGAGCTGAAGAAATAGGGTTAGAGTTAATAATACGGGGTCTTTTATTAGTTTTCGGTGAATGTATAGGTTGTGAGAATGATCTGAATTTAGAAGTGTGAGGAAAAGTTGAATGAGAGATAAGATTGGATACGATATTGACTGGTGAAGGAGCTGTGCTGGCAACTGAGTTTACATTAACAAAGGAAGGCTGTGATAATGATTTATTTAGTTGACTTGAGGAAGATGAGGACACTATTGAAGCATACGTGTGTTGAGGAATTTCTTTAGAAGCATCTTTATACGAGCAATTAGTATTTGACATATAACTTTTAATATTTTTTTGTCTCTTAAATTCTGGACATAAGTCCAGATCTGTAGTACGGTGATCTCCCTGACATACTAGACATACCTTATTGTCATTATTCTGACAAGATTCTGAGTTGTGATTTTCTCCGCATTTTATACATCGAACCTTGTTTCTACATTGACGACCCATATGGCCATATCTATAGCAATTGTAGCAAAGTAGCACTTTTTGTTGATATAGTTCTACATCATATAAAACTTTGTTAATTAAAATATATTTTGGTAATGTTTGAGATTTAAATGAGACCAATATTGTTCTTGTAGGTTGAAGTTCAGTTGAATCATCATCTTTCTTAATTTTTCGATTAATGCGTCTAACAAAATCTACTTCGAATTTACAATGCAAATCATAGGGCGAAATTCTACTTTTTAAATATTCTTCTGACAAATCCACATCTATTTGTTTGACCACTCCTAATCTAAATAATAAAAATTTTGGTATAAATGCACCTAAGTCATGCTTTTTTAAGTTAGTAGAAGATAGCAAAACGTTGGCGCTTAAATAGTCTTTCAAAATTATTCTAATTCGGTTTCTCCCAATAGATTGAATTTGTTTTATTTTATTATCAATTTCAGAATGAGCTCTTAAAATTATTTCACCTACCTTTATAGGATTTAATTTACCTTCAAAATTTGTCTTTATATTTTCAATATATACATGAAACGGACCTATATCCGTTGGTTGGTATTTGAAACATTGTCTAATTTTTTCAATATTTGGCGATTCTTTCGAAGGTAATTTAGTAAATGGAACATTGACATTACTTACCGGATCTTGGCTAACATTTTTTTGATCTAATCTTACTTTTGGCGATTCTTTCATTATGGCATCTACCTCCATAACTGATTCCAATTGGGTATTAGTCCAAGTTGAAGGGTCTCCCCAGTCAGGTGGTTTTTCTGGGGGGACTGAGCCCCCGTTAATAGAGTCCATTAAATAGAGCGCACTATAGTAACTATTTAAAAAAATTGAAAACTCACAGTACAAACTAACTATTAACGAAACAGAAACACAGATAACTAAACTAGAAACTCTCAAAATTAATTATATCCGACGAGAAATATATTTATCGAATGACAACTATTTGACGTTATCTCGACTGATATATGGCACTGAGGATTTTATAAACTTACATTTCATATTTTAAGACGATATAAAATATAAATATTGCACTGGCCTAAATTAATTCAAGAAACTTAATAGTTGTGTCTATGTTAGGTATATCATGAAGGATAAATTAAATATGTTTTGATATCTATTTGGAAGATAAACTATGTAGACATAGTGCAGTTTTATATAGGTTATATTTTTAAAATCGGCTCATCGAGTCCTTTTCAGGGTATTCTGTACCATGTATAGTGATGTCACAATATAAGTTGACTTAAAAAAAGGTAACGCTCTGTTCAATGTTTAAAATATTTACAACAGTACCTGAGTAACCTCTTGGACGAGACAAGATGAACTCGCCGATTTTAATTATTTTTTTTGTGCTTTCTTATAAATATTACAAGCGGGATTCGGGTTTTAATAGTTTCGCCGTTACCGTCTAGAAGCCATTATAATCAATGTCGAGCATTAGTTGATGGACTAATTAAAGCTGGACACAATGTGACTTTTGTTACACCCTTTGAAGACAAACCTCCACCGGGAAATGGGTCTTTCAAAGTTGTCAATTTGGCGGACTGTATGGCCCCATGTTAGTATTCTAATTTTAATTCTAGAGACGCTAAAATGGTGGTTCCTACATTATCGAGACTAAGGTCTCCAAGGGTAAACTCGTAGCGTAACAAAAACGAGAAATGATTTAACTTGGAACGAAATACCGAAAGCGGATAGTAGTATTAGCACGTTGAATTTTTTGGTTTGTGAAGCATTGGCATTACTTAGGTTAAACAATGTGATGATTTGCACAAGCCTTGATTTTTAAAACCATTTTTTATTGCCTTTTTATTAGGGCTTAAAAACTGGTTCGAGCAATTTATCCAATAATAATTGGCCCCTTTACCTCTTAAGCCTGCTCATGTAAAATATTTGGGCTCCTTACTTCTCCTTTTTATATTCTAATAATAAAGGACAGAAGGATGAGTATTGCAACTATGTTAAAAGAAATAAATTGGCTTTCAAATCAGAATTATGTTCAGTACATGACTGATATTTATTTATAAAATAAAAATGACATAGTACCATCGCATCAGATCTATTAGAAAAATTTCAATATAATTCGCAATATCACAACTATAATACAAGAAACCAATCTGACCTTCATGTACGGCAAGCCATCACTAAAAGTTCCAAAAATACAATTTTCATTAAAGGTTTAAAAAAATTTAATAGACTGCCTACAGAAATTAAAAAAAAAACAATAAATGTATTCAAAAGTAACCTCAAACAATACTTGAGAAATAAATAGAACGGATATACTTTCTTGTGATAATACTCTTTAAACCTGCCCTTTTTAGGTATTTCCCTTAATTTATTGTTATTTTACCCCTCGCTTTTTTCCGCATTTATTATAGATTATTTGTTTTGAGATCATGTACTTTATTTAAAAAAATTACTTGTTTAAAAAATTACTTGATGTTATATTAATACCACTTACTATGTTTATATTAATAATAGTTTTGTGAAGATAGGTTATAGCAACTTATAGCCCCAAAATTATTTTTGTGTTAAAGTAGATCCATAAAGAGCAATGTAATTTACAAAGGCCTTCTTTCAACTTACAAATATATGACAACTTTATAATTAAAATGAAAAAATAAACAAAATACCTTGGTATTATAAATGATCCAAATTTGAAATGAGCATTATATCTTACCTCTTTTTTATATAATAAAAAAGTGCTTTGTATAAGAATATTATATTATATGTCTTGCTGTACTTTTATTTATGGAAAGCCTGAATTAAGATATTTATTATTTGCAATAAATATCAAAAGAAGTATACATTTTTAAATAATTTGACATTTAAGAGCCATTGACATATCACAGTTGACATCTTGATACTTGACAGGCACAGTCAAGCATTATTTTGATTCTTGTCAAATAAAATAGCCAATTAATTATTTTATGGGGTTGCGACAGAGAAATTTGATGAAGGTGTTTTTGTGGCTAGGGGCGAAATAGTAGTACGCTTAATAACACCACCATAAGTTATTTCTAAGAAACTCCTTATATATTTTTCTTAAATTGGCAGGCTTGGCGACTAATTTCGAATGAAAATTGCCTCCAAAATGGCTATATGGTTGCAAGCACGAAGGTAGCAACCCGCCTTAGAAATTTCACCTTTACTATCAACAGCTGTGTTTTGACAGGTCGTTAGAGAATGTTTGCAATTTATGGAATGTGAAGCATGTTAGGAATTTTAACGTCACAAATAATTGAAATTCCTAAAATTGTTCACATAAGGAATGCATAGGAGGATTTTAAGAAAATTGTTATTAAAGTAGTTAGGATGAACCGAAATTTCTGAAAATCAATAGGGTTCTAAGTTAGAAGTAATTATTCAAGAAAATCAAAACAGCAAGTCAATCAGAACTTTCGTTCTAGAGTTATCGTGCCGGCATACTTACATACAGACGACCAGACGAAAACATTTTTTTTTTTTATTTTCGGATTCAGAATGATCAGAAACATGAAAAAAAGTTTTAAAAAATGGGGGTCAGAAAATTTTTTCGTCTGCACGAATGCAATACTGAGGCCCCATAGGAAGGGCCTCAGTAAAATAAAATTGATATTTTATCAGTCTGCGGTTAAGGATGAAATTATGAATGTCCTAATACTGTCAATGTAATCGGCAGGATACATTTTAACTTCATATTACGTGCACTTCCTATTATCTAAACAATTTTAATCTTTTGATCCTTAACAAGTAACTTTTAAAGGTAATTTTGGATTTTTTTGAGACGATTCTAAGGTATCCCTGACATAGAAAATAAAAAAACGACAGATCAGAAAATAACATTTTTTTATGAACCCTTCAAAAAAAAAAAAACTATTTTCGTTATTTCAACTATTTCAAAAGTTACAAGATTTCAGAAAGGTAGAAAATATAATGCAATACCCGGTATAAATAATATTAATAATAATAATAATAATAATAATAATAATAATAATAATAATAATAATAATAATAATAATAATAATAATAATAATAATAATAATAATAATAATAATAATAATAATAATTAATAATTAATAATAATAATAATAATAATAATAATAATAATAATAATAATAATAATAATAATAATAATAATAATAATAATAATAATAATAATAATAATAATAATAATAATAATAATAATAATAATAATAATAATAATAATAATAATAATAATAATAATAATAATAATAATAATAATAATAATAATAATAATAATAATAATAATAATAATAATAATAATAATAATAATAATAATAATAATAATAATAATAATAATAATAATAATAATAATAATAATAATAATAATAATAATAATAATAATAATAATAATAATAATAATAATAATAATAATAACAATAATAATAATAATAATAATAATATTAATAATAATAATAATAATAATAATAATAATAATAATAATAATAATAATAATAATAATAATAATAATAATAATAATAATAATAATAATAATAATAATAATAATAATAATAATAATAATAATAATAATAATAATAATAATAATAATAATAATAATAATAATAATAATAATAATAATAATAATAATAATAATAATAATAATAATAATAATAATAATAATAATAATAATAATAATAATAATAATAATAATAATAATAATAATAATAATAATAATAATAATAATAATAATAATAATAATAATAATAATAATAATAATAATAATAATAATAATAATAATAATAATAATAATAATAATAATAATAATAATAATAATAATAATAATAATAATAATAATAATAATAATAATAATAATAATAATAATAATAATAATAATAATAATAATAATAATAATAATAATAATAATAATAATAATAATAATAATAATAATAATAATAATAATAATAATAATAATAATAATAATAATAATAATAATAATAATAATAATAATAATAATAATAATAATAATAATAATAATAATAATAATAATAATAATAATAATAATAATAATAATAATAATAATAATAATAATAATAATAATAATAATAATAATAATAATAATAATAATAATAATAATAATAATAATAATAATAATAATAATAATTAATAATAATAATAATAATAATAATAATGTAATCCTGAGAGTTTAAAGCGGGTTTGATAGAAGTTTAAATTTAACACTGTAAGTCAATTGTAATTTTGAACATTTTCAGATAATTTGTTAATGAAAGTTCTTAGATAATATTTAAATTAAAACATTTTAAATAGGTTTCTGCTTGTATGTTAACAATAAGTTAATTTCATAAGTTTCCATAAAGTACAATAAGTTTATTTTTTCAAGTGATTATTTAATAGGAATCAAATATATCCGCTCCTAGACTTATTTCTTTTTCTAGCATAAGTTAGGTACAAATAACACTTTAACCTGTCCTAAAGAGAACGACTTGCTAGATCAAATAGGGTGTTTTTCGACCCCAAAGAGAAAATAGTCGCAATCAAATATCTCGGTTCCTAGACATAAAAATATATTTATTTTTTTAGCATAGGGTAGGTACAAATACCACTTTCAAAATCTGTTAAAGAGTACGACTTGCAAGGTCAAATAGGGCGTCAATCAACCCCAAAAGGAATTTTACGATTATTTAATAGGAATCAAATATCAATCAAGTTAATAAAAAAAAAAGGAAACGGCCTTAATTTCTTAATTTGTTAGTCTGTAAATAATGTATATCCATTTTCTCTCAAAACTATCTATTACGTTCAATATATATTACCAAAATACCCGAGGACTTAGA